CCCCACCGGATGGTAGGGGAAAAATAAATTTTTAAAAAAAAAAAAAAAAAATCCACAAACATCCCGTGTGACGAGACCAGGCGTGAGAAGGGTGGGAGCTGAGCTCCGACCACCATCACAGCCAGGAGCTGCTCCTGGCAGCCCGAGCGAAGGGGCCCTCGCGCAGCCCGAGCTCAAGAGGCGCTCTGAGCGTGAGACAGGTTTTGTTCTAGGAGCGGCAGCGACCCTGGAGCGTTTGCTCAAGGAGTCTTTCTTAGCCACCTGCTGAAGCAATTCCAGGGAAAACGCTTGTAAGGGATATTTCAGTTCGAACAGTAACCCCGAGGCTGGGTGAAGCACGCTGCAGGGCAGCTTAGCCCTCCACCCCCTGCCTTTCTGCAACTGGCAGAGCTCCGAAAACCTTAGGGTTAAGCAAGGCTTTCGGAGAAGGGGGCGAGGGCACGGTCAGAGGGCACCTGCTGCAGCCTCCCCTTCTAGCAGAGGCGATTACTGCAATCAAGGCGGCCGCGCTAATTGCACTCTCCTTCCAGCTCGCTGCGTTTCCCACCCAGCGTCTGACGAGGCAGAAGATAGAGGAGCGCTGCGCCCCGGCGGGGAAGGACAGCCGGCCGCAGGAAGGGCGAGGTCTGTCACCCGCAGCTCGCGCCCGGCTCCTGCAGAGAAGCCCTCGCTGAGGGGGGGACGTGCCAACACACCGAAGGGGCCACCGCCGCCCAGCTCAACACCCGCTGCCCCGTTACCACGGCACGGAGGGGCACCTCCCCAGGCACCCTCGCTGCAGGCACCGGGATTAACACGCCAATTAGTTACTCTGCCACGTTTTGGCGCACGCCCCGCTAGTGCCAAAAGGCACCCCGAGCTTCTAGACCCACACTGGTGGAACTCGGGAAACTAACGAGCACAACGACTTAGGCGGCCAAAACACGGATCTCAGGACAGCAGAAACCAGGGGTTGGAAGGCAGTATCCACCCCCCAAGCCTCGTTTTTTGGTGGAGAGCCCGTCTACAAAAGCCACTCGGAACCACACAAAAACGACACCGCACAAACCTCTCGGGTTTAACGGCTCTGAGCCGTTCAGCTCCCGCGCCGCACGGCCCCGGCTCGTTAAAGCAGTTACAGGGCAAAGCTGTGGCAGCAGCCTGGAGAAGTCTGCCTCCTCCTCCTCCTCCTCCTCCTCGATGCCTGGGGACACCCACCTCCAGCGAGCGCAGCAGCAACCCACTGACAAGGCCCTGGCCGCGTCGCAGAGCTGCAGGCCCCCCCCGCTGCACCCCAGCGGGTTCCTGAGCTGCTGCTGAAGCCGAGCGGCGGCTGCGGCGCAGACTTACCACCTGGCTGATGTCATATCCCCAGGGCAGGAAGAGAATCCCCGTGTTATACTTCTCCCAGTGGGAGAGGATGAATGAGAACAAGACCACCCATAAGAGGAGGTAGAGGACGAAGACACTGACACCCGTGGAGCCCCGTCCAAAGGTGGAGTAGACCGTCACGACAAAGTACACGCAGGCCCAGCTGTCCAGGCCGTGATCAAAGAGCTCTCCCAGGGGCGTGCTGGAGTTGGTCCGGCGAGCCTGCTTCCCGTCCACACCATCTGGGGAGGGAAAAAGGAGAAACGGGGAGTTCTGCTGGACGTGCCCAGGCAGAGCAACGGGCCGGGCCGCAGCTGGCAAAGGGCGTGCGGCAGCTTCGGCTACCTCCATCCTCTAAGGGGAGCGTGCTCCCCACCCCCCGGCTCTGTGTGAGGCCGAAAAATGCAACAGCCTGACAAGCTGACATTTATTTACAGCAGACCAAAGGCAGCATTTCACAAGGTGTCTCAGAAGTCACTTCCAGCATCCTCCTTTCACAGCAGCTGCTCTGGGACAACTTCCTTCTACCTGCTTTGCGCAGCAGCTCCCACCAACTGCTCTGCAGACCCAGGGGCAGCTGGGTTAGCGCGTGGCAGAAGCCCAGAAGCAAACATTTCTCAGAAGGCTCGGAGATAAGACACGCAGGCACAGCGTGAAGAGACAGACACACCCCCCCCCCCGACAACTAGATAAAGTCTTACCTAACGTGTAGGCAATGAAGTTGAGGAGACCCACAACGACCCACACGCCGTTCGGGACGTGCTGGTGATCGGGAGCTGCAGAGATCACAAAGACCCACGTCAGGACAGCTCAGCACGTACTTCCAACGGGTTTATTTTGGCACAGGAGGCGCAGCCACAAGGACCGGCAGCTCACCGAGGCAGCACCTGAGCAACTCCAACAGTGAAACCAAGAAGTGAGCCTTCCAGGACGGGATGGCAGAGCTGTTCCACAACAGCACGGGAAACCAGGTCACCGAGGACTTGGCTTTCCGGGGCTTACTTGTCCTCTGTCCCCAGCTCCCCAAGGCCACGGGACCCAAGAACCGGGGCGAGCAGGCAGCGACCGTAGCCAAATGCGTGACATGGCAGCGTGCGCAGACCAGCGCCTCCTCGACCCCTGGCTCAGAGCATCAAGCAGAGCCTCTCCGAGACGGGGTGACACCTTGCCAGGACTCCCTGCCCAGTCTCCAGTCCCCACCCTGCCCCTTGGAACAGCCTTCCTCCTTAACAGCACCTCCGCCTCCTCCC